GTCAAATGTACTCTGCCCAGGTCAGCCCTTACAACAAAGAATTATATAACCACAAACATTAATAGCATTAAGCTGGAGAAATCCTTTTCTGAAGTTTTAAATCAGTCTGCATGTGTACAAATGTAATTTTTCCACATCTGCATTCTTCCTCATTTTTGCAAATCTCCAGAAAATGCTTATGTAACTACCTGCCTTTGCACAAATGTTCTTAGTATTTGACTGAGCTTTGTTTCTGGCCTTGGTTTTCCTGCACATTGAGGAAGAAGTAAGTCAACAGAATGACTGCACCAGCCCACCACAGGCCTGCCCGTTTGGTCTAGGGGAAGGGGGACCAATTATTAATTACTGCCCTGTTCCTTCATTTGAGGAGTCCACATATCAAAGTGCATTTCTACAAAGAATGTCAAGAACTTTAGCACTTGAGGAAAATCTAACAAATGACAAATTTAATCCTGAACTATGCATAATATTTTTTAAATCTCCAGGTTTAGCATTTCAATGGACAAAGTATCATATTATTTTAAATAGACAGCTAGCAAATAATTGCAACTTCTCTGGTCTTTAAGCAGATACAATTCAATGAAGAAACCTATGTCAAGACTAATTTTTATGATATCATTATTAAAACTCCTAAGGCAATACTGTAAAAACAAATAACAGGCTTCCCACCTGTTACCTGGTTCATGCCCTGCATACTGCAGGATCAGGGGGCCAGACACAGCTCAGTGCTCAGGCCTGAGATGCTACATGAAGATATGCCCGGCAGCCTGTCTATTTAATAGAGGGTGAAAGACTTAAATAATCTCTTAAAGCTATCTTCACTGCCTTCATGAACAAATATTTATTTGATAGTGTTACACAAACGACATTCAAATCTCTTCTATACTGAAATACACCAATTTATTCCAGCAGATAAATGAACTTAAACACACCTGCTTTATGAGAATGTAAAAGACAATGGTAGGAGGTCTAATGAACAATGATCTCCAGAGGGAGATTAACTATCAAGGCAGGTGCTTTCTTTTAGCAAAAGGCCAGAGACAGCAGTAAACTAAAATATTTCCATTTCCTAATTAAGAAGTACTTACTCTTTCTCCAGGTTGGCCACAACACTGTGGACATAATCAACATCTGTCTGGGAAAGAAAAAAATACCAAAATTCATATTTGTATTCAACCTTTTTATATTTTTTTATATTTTTATTTAACTTTTAATACTGAACTCAAAATTAGACAAATGACAAAACATGCAGCAAAAACATTAAATTTTCAGGCAACTTGAGGGATTTGCATTTCTGATTTTATTGTATTATTGTGCTATTCAATATCACTAAATACTTCATACAGTGAGCAGATTTGTAAGTGTTTATTCTTTCCAATTGCCTACACTCGATCATCAGGAAACTGGGCACAGAAACTACTCCTACTTCTCTGGAAACACCCAGACCCTGAGTAGTGGGCAGAGGCACCGACAGATGCAGCCTGCTGTCAAGAAAGACATTTCCATTTGGAATCTTAACACTTGGGTTCAAGATTTGCCTCTGGGGCTACTGGACAGTATCATCTGAAGTTACTTCTCTGAATTTAAGTTTCCTATTCCATGAAAAGAAAAAAAGGGGGAGAAAAATTAAGACCCCAGAGATGACAAGTTTAAATGATAAAACTGAAAAGCATGCAATGCAAAGATGTGCTGGGCTTCTGAGGACCCCTGTGAAGAAAGCCGCACCTCTGACCAACCCAGAAGCATCTGGCCAAGGCACCCAGGTCTCTGCCGGGTACTCTCCTTGCTCCTCTCCCACTGGTTGGCAGCAAAAACAGGTGGTCACTGAGCTCTCAGGGCCTGCTTACTTTTAGAGAAAAATTTTTCCTGATTATATTTTTTAAAGGCACATAGATCTTTTTTAAAGGCAGTATTACTACCCAATTCTGAGAATAAGTTTGTGAATCAAAAATGAATATACAGATTCTAAAGAAAGAGCATTTTTAAATTAAGAACCAAGTGCTTGTCCTGGTTAAGTAAAATTAAGAGCTGGGCTGATATGTGCTACAATGAGATGAACCTTGAAAACACCATGCTAAGTGGAAAAGCCGGTTGCAAAGGACTACATATCATGCAACTGCTTTTATATGAAATATCCAAAGACAAGTATCTGCAGGGACAGAAAATAGATTATCGGTTGCCTAGAGCTGGGGGAATAGGAGGATGACTGGGTAATGGCTAAGAGTTTCTCTACAGGGTGAGGAAAATGTTCTGAAGTTGACTGAGGTGATGGCTGCCCAACTGTTTTAGTGGGTGGATTATACATTGTGTGAATTACTTTTAAAAAACAGAATAAAGCTAAAGGTATAAAAATTAAGTATTTCAGGTTGTATACCTGGATCTAGGTCACTCAGCTTCTCGTAGAGACACATGGAAAAGTTGGATATATATGTTAACATGAGCCCAGAGGAGTTGGTGTCAGCTAGGAGGCAAAATCATAAGCCTCAGGCTTCACCCCACTACAGAAAGCTCAACTAACAACTACCCACAGACCAGAACACCTTTCTGAAAACCCTACTACTTGAAAACAAGCATGAGACACGCTGCTGGTTGGCCGAACTGAGGACAGCAGGATAAGAAAGAATGGTCCCACCACTACCACGGCACTTCTCCCATCCAAGCCGACACAATGACACATAGAGAGAACGTCCTAGGACCCAGGGTGTTTACTGAGGAAGGAGAACCAGGGACAGTCATCCAGCTTCCCGAGCATCCAGAGACACATCCCACTCTAGTCTCACCTCGTGGGCAACACTGGGGGTATGGCACAGCTTGACCACCAGGCGCCAGGAAGAAACAAACAAAGGAGGCAGAGAGCACAGTGACCAGCACACGAGCCCTGGTGGTGGCACCCCTGTGCTTCTACCACCCATGTTGGGTGACTAGAGTTAAAGCCTACTTCAGAGCCCGTCCACAAAGCTGAACTGGTTGTCTTCAGCAGCACAGCGGGAAGTTCAACCTAGCTTGCATCCCTACACGGCCAGCCTCCAGCCCAGCCTCACAGCCCACTCCAATGACCCTAAGTCCAACACCCACCTCCGACATTTCAGAGAAACATGGGGCTAGACCTGCTTGACCCAGGAAGTGAAGTGTTGGCCAAAATGCCCCAAAGATCCTGTCTAGATAGGGTATACACATTGTGGAGAAGCTCAGAGGGTAAAGCTATTTGACCCAGGAGGTCAAACAGTCCCTCAACTCAGCCAAAAGCCCACTCCATGGCACCACTGTGATAAGGAAGCAATCCTCAATCATGCATTTCCAAGGAGCATAGCCTCCAGAAGAGCAATGTTGCCTAACCTTGGAACCTGTATTCCTGCCCAACTACAGATCCTAAATAGTGGAAATGCCTGAGCAGGGAAGACATCCTCTGACTGGCCTGACCAGAAGCCATCACACTATGCAGCCAGAACCACATCCAACCAGAGAGCTCACAAGCAGCTCTGTCTCTAATGGAGCTTCACCAGCTGGCCCCCTAGAATCACAGGCTAAATAGTGAAGAATGGGCCCTGCCAAAGAATGCCTGCGCAGGCCAGAAGAGGGCACTGTCTCCTCAAAGGTACACAAAGTAATGCAAGGACACAGTGATTACAAGCAGGGAATTATAACACACACACACCTCTCTCTCTCTCTCTCTCTCTCTCTCTCTCTCTCTCTCTCTCTCTCTCTCTCTCTCTC